CTGATTCACTTTGTTATAAAGCAGAAACTAACACACCATTGTAAAGCAATTATACTCCAATAAAGATGTAAAACAAAGAACAAAGTTAAAGGAGTTACACTTTCTGATTTCAAAACTTACTAAAATCCATAATACTCAAGACAGTGTAGTACTAGTGTAAGGAAAGACATAGATCAATGAAACGGAATTTAGAGAAAAACCTGACTTTGGGAAATACGCCAAGGAAAAGGTAGTCTTTTAACAGGGACTACAGGGAAAAGGCAGTCTTTTAACAAATGATACAGCAAGGTGGATATCCACATGCAAAAAAGATGAGTTTAGATCCTAATGTCACACCACATTCAAATACTAAATCAAAATGGAGAATAGCCCTAAATGTGAGAGCAAAAACTATTCAGTTTTTTAGGGAACAAAAGTAAGAGGAAATTTTCATGACCTTTGGTAATTTAGTGGAGAAAGGATAATCTTTTCAAAAAACAGTGCTGCAACATTTGGATATCCATATGCAAAAAGGTGAACTTGGATCCATATTTCACTTCATATACAAAAATTAACTCAAAATATATCATAGTTATAGATATAAAATCTAAGAATATAAAACTTATAGAACAAAACATATAAGAAAATCTTTGTGGCCTTAGGTTAGGCAAAGATTTCTTAGACACAACATGAAAAGTACAGTCCATGAAAGAACAAATTGATAAGTTGAACTTTATTAAAACTTATGCTCCTCAAAATACATTGTTAAGAGAATGAGGAGATAAGCCACAAACTGGTAGAAAATTTGCAAAGCATGCATCTGATAAATTACTTGTATTTATAATATATAAAGAACTCTCCAAACTAAATAAGAAAATGAATAACGCAATGAAAATCTGGCAAGATTTGACATACACCTCACTAAAGAAAATTGATCAATCTATATCTCTCTATCTATCATCTATCTATCTATTGATCAATCTACATCTATTTGTTGATCGAGTGATTTATCTACCTATGGCAAGTAAGTATATGAAAAGATGCTCAACATCATTATTCAGTAAGGAAATGCAGATTAAAACTACAATGAGATATCTACTAGATGTCTTTTAGAATGGCTAAAATTTAAAAGATTGACCGTATCAAGTGTTGGTGACACTTGTTGGTGTAGATGAACTGGAAGTCTCATATGCTGCTGGTTAAAAAGTTAAACATACACCTCCCATATGATCCAGCCATTCTACTCCTAGGTGTTTTGCTTAAAGGAATACACACACCATACAAAGACCTATACACAAATGATCATAGATCTTTGTTTGTAAAAGCCACAAGTTATAAACAACCCAAATGTCCATCAACTGCTGAATGGATAAACCAACAGTAATGTATTCATACAAGAGAATACTACTCAGTAATAAAAGGGAATGAACTACTGATATATGCAATAACACGTATGAATGTGAAAAATAATTATACTGGCTGGAAGCAGCAAGAGAGAGTAAATACTGTTTAATTCTATTTTTATGAAATTCTAGAAAATGAAAACTAATCTGTAGTGACACAAAGAAGATCAGTGGTTGCTTGGAGATAGGAATGAAGGGGAGGGAGATTACAAAGGGGTGGGAAGAAACTACTGGGTGTGATGGGTATATTCACTATCTTGATTGTGGTGATAACTTCCCATTTGTATATATTTCAAAACTTGTCAAATTGTACACCTAAGTATGTGTGGTTTATTGTACGTCAATTATACCTCAAAATTATTTTAAAATTAAGCTTGTATTTTGTATATCTTTTTGCTTTTTTACTTATTTTTCTATTAATTCCTTTATATTTTATTAGTCCATGATGAAATGAAAATTTTAAAAATTTATCTTTCATCACATAGAGCTTGAGACCACTATTCTAAGGATTTGCATTGTTGGAAAGAAGGTCACTTTAAGAAGAATAATAGATTATGGTAAATTAAAAGTGTGTGTTGAAATGTCTTGAATACTCATTAAAATAAGAGAAAAGTAGTATGTAGCTTCAAAACTACCATAGGGCTAAGATGGAATGGAAAAAAAAGCACCCAATCCAAAGGAAGGCAAGAAAGAAGAGAAAAAAAAATTACAGATCACAAATAGCACAAAAGAAGGTAGATATAAGGGCACTGGTGTCAGTGATGACATTAAATGTAATAGACTAAATGGTCTAATCAAAAGATTAAAGTGTTAGATGATATTGAAAATTATATGTTTACAAAGTACAAATAGCACACATAAGATCTAGGAAATTTGCAAGTAAAAGAATGGAAGAAGTTATATTGTGCAACCACTAACCAAAAAAAAAAGCTGATATAGCTATACTAATATTAGGGGGAATTTTTCAATTTTTTTTAATAAAATTGATCAATTCATAAGGATGAAAGGATAATGTTACCAACAAGAGACACAATTAGAAATATGTATGCTCCCATTATGAGACTTCAAAATAGTAAAATAGCTTATTTTTTAAAAAGAAGGGCAAAAATGGATAAAACTGCAAGGAGAAATAGAAAAATCCACAATCAGTGGGAGGTATTAAAACAGCTCTCTATCAAATTAATAGAACAAGAAGAAAACTAGGTCAAGATACAAAAGGTCTGAATAATAAATTAACCAATTTGACATCACAGACCTATATAGAATACTGTATTCAACAATTGCCAGTTGTGGGACTTTCCTGGTGGTCCAATAGGTAAGACTCTGCATTCCCAATGTAGGGGGCCCGGGTTTGATCCCTGGTCAGGGAACTAGATCCCACATGCATGCCGCAACTAAGAAGTCTGAGTGCCACAACTAAGAAGCCTGCATGCCGCAACTAAGAGCCTGCATGCCGCAACAAAGATCCCATGTGCCGCAACCTAAATAAATAAAAAACAATTACCAGTTGCATATTCTTTCAAGCACATGTGCAATAAAAACAAAACAAAACAAAAAAACTGACCACATCATGGGCCATGAAGCCAGCCTCAACCAATTTCAAAGAGTTGGAATATGCCCCAAAATGTTTTCTGACCACAATAAAATAAGCTAGAAATCTGTAACAATCCATAACCAGAATACCCCCTAATGTTTGGAAATTAAGCAACATGCTTAATAACTCTTAGGTAAAAGAGGAAGTCACAATGGAAGCTAGAAACTAGTTGGAATGAAATGACCAAAAATGTATGAAATACCAAATTTTGTGGGGTGCAGCTACAGCTGTATAGATGGAAATTTATAGCCATAAATGCATGGAGTTTTAAAAAAGAAAGGTGGAAAATCAGTGATCTAAGTGTTCACCTAAAGAAACTAGAAGAATCTTATTTGAACCAAGTCATTTGTTGCTTCGGTGCCCCGTGGGGCACTCACACACTGTCTTTGTGTAACTTTTATGTGTATTTGAGGTTAGTCCCTGAGGGAGCCCCCAAAGATGAAGCAACAACAGTGTGGGGTCATGAGGTTCGGGGGGAATTGGCTACACAGTCTCTAAACGGGAGTGTACTGTGTTCCCCTGGGCTAAGAATTCACAGTGGAGTATAAACCCCTGGGTATGACCATGGCATGGCTGCTCTGTGCATGCAAATCAGGGACTCACACGGTGCCCAGAGGAGGGAGTGGTGGCCAAATCCTCAGTAATGGCATCATTTGGCTCCTCCTAACCATTTATCAACATTCTTCAGGAAGCATGGATTGGGCCTTCCTTACCACTTCCTCTACAACCCAGGGCCTGTTTTCTAAAATAACCTTGCTGGGTTATCCAGTTATGAGTTACCTTTGCCAGGTATTTAGTCCCAGCCAGTTTCTGCTCACCCAAGGCTCTTTCTCTCCACTGCTAACACACACATTCACACATACCCATTCCGAGTTCCTCTTCCCCGTTGTAAATAACTAACTGTACTATAAAAACAGAGTCAAGGGGTTTCCCTAGTGGCGCAGTGGTTAAGAGTCTGCCTGCCAATGCAGGGGACATGGGTTCGAGCCCTGATCCTGGAAGATCCCACATGCTGTGGGGCAACTAAGCCCGTGCGCCACAACTGCTGAGCCTGTGCTCTAGAGCCTGAGAGCCGCAACTACTGAGCCCACGTGCTGCAACTACTGAGCCCGTGCACCTATAGCCTGTGCTCTGCCACAAGAGAAGCCACCGCAATGAGAAGCCCGTGCACCACAACAAAGTGTAGCCCCCACTCGCCGCAACTAGAGAAAGCCCTTGTGCAACAACGAAGACCGAACGCTGCCAAAGATAAATAAATAAATAAATATTTTTTAAAAAAGGAGTCAAAACAAATTATAGCAAAGAACAAGGAGAAATACTGTGTATTCCTAAGCCACGTATAACCCCTGTACAAACTAATAAGATTTCTGATTGTTCCCTCTCCCCGGCACTGTGACATTGCCTGATTCCTACTTGGTCAGGGTAGCAGAAGAAATCACCTCTTCTGTCCTTCAACCTCCCTCCTCCCCAATACCTGCTAATATCAGAGGACCAGAGAGCATGCACCTGTCTTTAAAAGTAGAATACTGATTGTAAGTAGGGTTACCAAATGTAGCAAATAAAATTTCAAGATTCTCGGTTAAATGTGAGTTTCAGAGAAACAAAAAATAACTTTTAGTATAAGTGTGTTCCATTTTCATACTCAAAAGTTATTTGCTGTTTTTCTGAATTTAAAATTTACCTCAACATCTAGTATTTTTTTTCTGGAAACCTAATTATAAGAGAGAAGGGATTGCAGTCAGGGAGGAGGAGGTGTCTCCTCCTTGAACTAAGGTTGACTTGGGAGCCTTTGGCTAAGTCGTGTTGCCTGGAGAACTGACTCCACGGGGAGCTGGGAGAGAGGTCGGTCCTTCTGGGCACCTCTCGCCCCTCACGGGATCCTGACTTGTGCAGCCTTGGCTCACTGCCTACTGGTGTCCCTCCACATCTCTTGGCTTTGTGAGGGAAGCATATCCTTCTGTCTGCCCAAGTTTAGGCTGGGAATGGGGGACAAGTGTAGTCAAGATAACAAACAAACACAGGCATGATGTGCAAAAACACAGACATTTTGACTTTAATAAGTTATAAAACCAAGGAGCCAAATTTTACTATACAGAAAAACAAACGTACTGATTGCTATCATCAGTAAGATAAAATGTTGTGATGTGAGTTCAGCACCAAAATGACCCATGTGGCAGCTGCCTGTCAGACAGGAGTACATAGTCGTAATGCTTCATCTGATAAAGACTTTGCTATTGAGCACCATTTATAATATACTCCAGACAAACAAACAAACAACTTTATAGTACACATGAAAGGCTTATATGTGAAATTCCATGGGTTTTCCAAAAGGAGTAGATCAGAGAGCCAGGTCCCAAAACTCCAGCACTAGTCTTCCCACGAACATGAAGTGACTCTTGGGCCCCTCAGCTGACTTTGCAGAGCAGTGGACAAAGAGGACCTCTGAGTCTCAACCTGGTGTTGGGAAACCTTGGCTCAAAGACATCCTCTGCCTTCCCCAGGCTGCAGAAGCCTCTCAGCCAGCTCTGGAAGCTCCGGACTGTTGCTAAGCCAGCTCTCCACCTGTCTCAAGCTCAGTGGAAATTTGCAGTGTCTCAGAGTGGGTGAACACTGCCTTCATACACAGAGAGACTTCTGAGGACCATCTAGTCTAGAGAACTTTGTGGATATATGGCCCAAGGCACTGAGTATGGCATATGGGGCCGTGCCCACTTGGCCTACAGTTCCCAGAGGGCATCTTTCTTCCTGCAGCAGAAGAGAGATCCCCCTGGGTGTGTCCCACCTGGGCCCCCCCCCGCCTAAAGTCTTCCAGCCCCCAAGACACACAGCCCTGCTCTGCTGTGATCTGAGAAGGGAGCGTTCCCATTCTGTGGCCTCCAAGCTGGGTAAACTGAGTAATACTCTGGCTAGGGTTAGTCCGGAGCTTCCTCGACATTCTAGGATGGACCCAAGCAAGCACTGCCCAGCCCTTCAGCCCGTGAGTAGCACCAGCTGTCATGGGTTCAACCAACGAGGGAAAGCCGTGGATACATTTCCTAATGATAAAGAGACGAGGGTGCAGAAGTGCTTCACACTACATCTTGTTAAAGAAGTGATACTATGAGAGAATTCAGAAAGGTTTCTCCAGTTTGGTTCTTAGGAGCCAGCAAGCTCCTTGGAGACACTGGGACATGTATGAGCAAGTGTGGAACATGGTGGCAGAGGGGAGAGAGGTAGGCTACGCTGGGGAGATGGGGAGGCTAGTTTTCAACCATTTGGAAGGTTAAGCATCATCCCAGATGTCCCTTCACTGTTTCTTACCCCCTTACTCTGTCCCTTGGACCTCTTGCAGAGGTTCACACACACACATGCACAGGTTCTGATAAAGGGTTTTAGCACCTATCGTGAGCCCAGTATTCTCATCCACAGAATGGGGAATGAAATAAGAAAGAGTTCTCTAAGATCTATGACTGGTGAGAATACAAAGGCTTTAGAACTTTCCTGGACATGAAAAGCTTAAGAATTACATGGCAGGCTAGGCCCGGCTAAGGAGCTAATGTGCTTGGGTCTTGTAATTTTGGGAAGTTTAAGCTGCATGTTCACACATACAAAAAAGTGAGCCTTGCCCACTCACTGGACTTTCCAGCAGAGTGCATGCCTCCCTCATCCTTCCAGTGCACTTGGGGAAGGGGAGAGCCTCTCTGGGGAGCCCCGGGTCTGAGGCCAGGCTGGCCAGAGGCGACAAGCAAGGCCAGGGTTAGTGAAGATAAAAGAGGCCTGGGAGAGCCTGGGAGTGCCAGCTGGCCACCACACTCATCTTCATCACCTGCCTCACCACCTCGAAGACTGGAGTTCATGGCCTCCACTTCACCGCACTCATCTTAGTGACTGGCCACTTAGTAAATAAATCATCGTTTCTCCCAAGAGTCCCATGGGGCTTGTGTCTCAGTCTGCAGATTGGCAGGAAATGTCCTGTGTCTCCAGCAAGGTTGCCACCACAAGGAAAAGAAGATTCCCAATCACTTGCTCAGAAACTTGGGGCAAACGTTTTCTCTCTCCGAGTTATCCCTCCTGCCTTCCCTCATCAACGGGGGTTGTAGAACCTCTATATTCCTCTCCAACCCACACTCCACCTCAGTACAGGACATATATATATATATATATATATTTTTTTTTTTCTTTTTACATTATTCTCCCTCTTTGTTTTCCCCAAACCTTTTGGAATCAGGAATCTGACTTCATCTCCACAACACAGGAGTTGCCATCCCATGGAATATCTCTATAAGCAAGAAAAAAAAAAATGCTATTGATGCTATCTTTCCATTTTATTAGAACTTTCCGAGCATCTCTTTCTTCCTCATCTCATCAATGAGCTCTTGGATTCTTTGGTTCCTGGTCTTTTCGTATGGGCTCGGTCGTCGAGGGATTAGGTTGGGTGGCTGGACTTCATCCTCCAGGCCCTGGATTTTGTAGGGCACATCCACAGCGTTGGTTTCCGGATGGTCCTCGGTGGCACTGGTGCTGGAAGTATTGAGAGGCACCTCCAGGGGTGTGCCTGGCGGAGGCTGCACCTCCATGACTAGAGTGGGCACTGGGAGGGTGGGCATGAGCTCTTCAATGTCATTGTGCTTCCCAGAGGGTGGTTCTGCCCTGTCGTCCACATTGGTGAGGTTGTCTTGCAGGTTACAGGATTTGCAGCACAGCTTATTGTAGCCTGGGATGGAGCAATAGCGAGACAAGACTTCCATCCTACAGAACATTGACTTGTCACCTTGGCAGCGGCCCTCTGAAAGAGAAAAGTGGGACAAATAACCAAAGGACAGGTAAGGGGGACCTTGTTCCCCCACAGGAAGCAGTTTTCTGGAGGAGGCATTTGAAAGAGCCCAGAGACAGCACAGAGGCAAGCGAGCTCACACAGAAAGCCTGTGTGGTTTTGATATCGGGCAGCCTTTGGGCAGGGTGGATCCGGGGACCCCACCCTTGAGTGCTGCCACACAAGCTGTGAGCAATGCTCCCCTCCTCCAAGCAGGCCCTGACTGAGTGCAAATTTTTCAGTATCTCTCAAAGTCTGAGACAGAAATGAGGCCTGTCTATTCTCAGGGAGTGATTCCAAGCTCATCTTAAAGAATGGGACTTTATCAGATGTTCACGTTTGATAGCCCAGTGGTAACCCCAATGACATTCTTTGGCACAGTTTGACTCTACAGTAATCTTTAAGCAGTAACTATAACAAAATTAAACCTAAAAGAACCAATTCCTAACACCCAAAAGAGCGCATCCCAGAGCCTTGGCTGTGGCCTCACCATACTCCTCCACATTTTGTTCCCATCCTCACCCAAACTCTCCAGATGATCTTTGTTTCTGAAAAGGGACTAAATAGAAATTAAAAATCATGCAGACTTATCTGGGATTTCTTCCACTTGCCTCAACTTACTTGAGAGCCTTATGTCCTGCCACTGCTCCATCCACCACGTGGCCCTGCCACATTGAGCTTCTGGCCATTTTCCAAAGTGCTCCAGAACTTGATGCCTTCACATAGACTAATTCTTCTGCCCAGCACATCCTCCCCTTTCTTTCCCACCCAAGATCTGGTCATCCACGGTCTGTCTTGTATGGAGAGCCCTGACTCTCTGCAGAGGCCATAGTTGTCTCTCTCTTTCCCTCTTTCCTCATGGCTGTCTTCTCCCTGGCCTGGCTCCAACCCTGGCTGCAGCTGTATTAATATGACCCATCCAACTCCTCTTGTTCTCACTCTCTGTCTTCTTCCTGAATTTTTACCCCCTTCCCTTTCCCTTAACACCTAATTTCACACACAACACAAAAATTGAGATGATTTACAAAAATTCATTCAACATAAAAGAATAAGTCATTTAACAGTATAACAGGGGATATTTGGTCCATTATAAATTCCTGATCACTGACTTCAATGGGCCCAACCCTCCAACTATGTGCCCTGCTCAGTCACTCTCTATTCTTCATAATGGGCATTTCAAACTTTTCCCACATAAACCTCTGCTGTGCCCTCCTTTCCCCTCAGTCTCCCAGGTGAACTCATCTCCTATTTAAAGGAAGGAAAGAGGGGAGGTGGGAAGGAAGGAGGGAGGGAAGGGGCAGCCACTGATGGGGACCACATCTGACATGGTTACTCTGTGCATTAACGCAGGGCACGTTCTACATCTGCATGTGAAGCTATGCTAGCTCACTGAAAGTTCTCACAATAACAGACAGGCAGGCCCTCTCCCATTCAGGGCCCGTGGTTCTGACATCTGCCCTCTGCATGGCCATTGCTCCAGCTTATAATTTTCCCTTACAGGCTGGCAACCTACTTAGTTGGACACCAACCTCAAACTCCTGGAGCTTCAAACACTTGGACACAACAGGCTACTAGATACCCCTCAACTCCTGTGGTCCCAAAAGTGGATTCCACATGTCTGGCCCAAGCCCATGGCCTTCACTGGCACCACCCATCTCAGAGAATGGCCCTTCATGTGCACAAGCCAGACCCCGGGCATCCCCTGTGCGGTCATCTCCAGGTCTGTCAGTATTTCCCCTGATGCTGTCAGATGTGTCCACGCTCCCCTCTCTCCTGCCTCCACAGTGCCAAGCTACCTTGCCTCTTGGCTGCAACGTGGTAAGAGCTTCCTTTCTGCCTGCCTGTCTCCATTCTTCCTCCTTCTTATCTAGCTATCCTGCTGCAAGCAGAATGATGTTCTTCAGCCGGAGATGTGACCTTGTCACCGTCCAGACTGAAGCCCTTGTATTGCTCCTCCATTGTTTTCAGGGCGAGGACCCGTCCCCTTCACCTCTCCAGTCTCATTCAGGCCTTGATTGCCTTGCTCTGCAGTGTGCTCTCTGTGGCCACAGGGCCTTTGCACATACTGTGCCTCCCCTCTTCCTCTTATCCCCGAGGCTCAGCTGAAACACATCTTCCTCAGGCAAGCATCCCTTGACTTCCCTTGCAGGTTAAATCTCCCAGTATGTGGTCTTATGGTGCCATGGGTCTCCCTTTCCCAGCATTCCATCCCAGCTACCAAGTCCACATTTAGTTGTTGGATAAGGTAACTAATGCCTGACTTTTTCATTATCTTGAAGCTCCAAAAGGCAGAGCCCCGAGCTGTATCTGGATGCACCTTTATACCAGAGCCTAGAACAGTGAATTGAAGAATGCATAAAGGTGAAAAAGACCAATGTGAATGATTGAGCAAGTCCAAAACAAGGAAATCATGGATTTTAGAATGTCAGTGCTACAGGGAAGAATACACAGAGGCACGTATCATTAGAGAGGGACCCAACCTGGACTCTGAGCCAAAATAAGGAGGAAACATGACTAGGTGCAGGACCCAGGGTATGAAGAGATAAGGACAGATAGGCTGTTTAGGAAAAGCCCTGGTCTTCCTAACCTTGAGATGGAGAAATAGGCCCACATGTGGAGGGGAAAGGCAGATGGCCTTGTGCTGAGGGTCGATTCCAGAAATCAGACTAAAAGATGCTGAGATGTGGCTTTCAGGGTTTTAAAACCTTGGATAAAATTTTACACAGATATCCAATATCTGAGACAGATGAAACCAGAACAGTCCTGTTTGAAGCTGGGCGGGTCATGCTCAGAGCCCCTGCTCCCTTCTCCCCTCCTGGTCCCTCCCCGCTCCCTGGCAGTCACTGGGGTAAGCGTGTGGAAACCACCATGACAGCCCTCAAGGAGATACAAGGGGGCTTTGGTAATACTAGGTGCAGCATCTCCCCCAGGCTTTGGCCATCAGCTGGGGTGGGGAGGCCAGAGGCATAGGCCTCAACAAGGATGCAGCCAGGCCTAGCCGTGCTGCTGGGACTGGGGTCACCCCTGCCACACAGACACCCTCTCCTGTCACCTGTGCCTCTTCCTTCACACAAATAACAAGCATCTCCCTCACTTGTCTTTCACCAGGCTGGGATCCGAGAAGCGGGTGTCACATCAGTCTAGGGTAAGTGTCTGCCAACCACTCTTGTGGGCCAAGTCGGTCCCTCCACCTGGTTTTGTAATCAAAGTTTTATCGGAGCAGCCCTGTTGGTGGTCTGCCCACAGCTCTAGGCAAGGTTCCCTCAGCAGGTATTTCTCCTGATCTGTTTGGGCAAGGAGACTTAGTGGACGCAGTTCATCAGACACAGTTGTCTTGGTCTCCCGTCTCTTGAGTTGGGAGTCTTTCAATGATCAGAGCTCTGGGCAGGCTGACCCCAGCCACAGCTACTGTGACCCCACCCAAAGGCTGGCATCTGGAACCCGGCCCTGTGTCCTGATGCCCATCTCCATGGCGCTGGGTGGTTGTCCTTTCTCATGGCCTCCCTCCTCCCTGGAACAGGACCCCTTCATGGGAAAGGGAGGGAGAGATGCCCCCTGGCAGGACATGGCCCAGGCCCCAGATTAGGAGGTCCCTGGTTGGACCCTGACCTGCTGTGTGGTTCTTGTCAGCAAGGGGAGTGGACACACAGGCCCTGTGGCTCCTGAGGGTAGGCCTTGGGAGACAAGGCAGGCACAGCTGAGCACACCCGTGTGTAAATGTCACAGGCCAGGCGCTCAGACCTTCGGCTGCCTTGCCCTTCTCCCAACCCAGACTCTCCTAAGACTCTCCTAAGACAGACCTGTTCCCTCCCTGAACAGGTAACCCAAGGCTGACAGCTGTGCCCGGAGCCAGGGTAGTGGCCTGATGGTGGCTCAGGGCATGGTGACCTGGACACTGTCTCAGCTACTAACCCCATATTCCCACTCCATGGGCTGGGATCCCAAAGATGGGGAGAAGCTCACATGGGGCCCTTTTCCCAACTGTGAGAACTTATCCACAAGGAGACAGCCAAGGTGTTCCTGCAAGGTGCTTGTTTAGCACTAAGGATTCAAAACTCAGAATGCCGGTGGGGTGTCTGCACGAGCTGCTGTCACATTTTGAAAAATGCCTGAGGAGGGGGCACATGCCTCAGTGGGGGAGGGGCCCTCAGTATCTACGTTGGGCAGGGTAAGGGGGACAGAAAAGTCACTGGAATCAGAAACCAAGGAAGTAATGGACCAGAACGGCACCTGCAGCCCTGCAGCACCGTTGGTCACAGAGATGAAGAGAAGGAGGCAGCAGCGTGCCAGACCCAAGCACCCAGTTTCACTGAACTTTTATTGAGTTTATTTGTGGGATGCATGACAGGAAGTCTTTCCACTGTTAGTAAGAGTAAAAGGTCATTTTCACAGTCACTTTGGCACACACTAACGTTGTCTCATAAAAAAACCAGAAAAGCAACGACAATGGAACCTATATAATACGTCATTGAATACATACAAAACACTAATAAAATATCCCTGATAAACCAAAGTGCATATTCCGTATTGCACCTTCCCAGAGTCACTCATGTCACTCGCATTGCCTAAGTCAAAGTTGGAAGTTAACAGTCATGAGAATTAGTATGGGTTACACCAAGTATTTACATAACAGTAACTAGTGCCAGGGGAGGGCTGGGAGCTGTCCAGCGGGGATGCTATGAACAGGGGACGGGGCTGGGGAGAGTGAGGGGTGACCGGCGGGAGTGCTACACTGGTCATGCCCAGGGCCAGGCCAGTCGCCCTCTGGTGTAAGGCAGCGCCGGCAGCAGAGTGCCCGGGGCTCCAACAACAGTCAGTGCCGAAGGGCCGCTCAGGCCATGGAGCGGGTCTCCTTTCCACAGAGGTGAGCCTGTGCCTGGGGCCCTGTACAGACTGGACTGGGAAGCCTTACCCTTGACCAAAGGTGGATGAGCGGGCCACCTCCCTCTAGATTGCACTGCCTGCCTCCTGCCTGGGTTGCTAGCAGCCAATTCTGTTACCTTTCAACTTTAAGGCATCTTCTACATAGTTTTATCTAAGCAAAAAAGCGATAAAAATTGAGGTAATTCTGTAGTTGTTCACATGGGTAGGTGGCCGCATCCACATGAGACAGCCTTTCACTCTCACTCTCTCGCGCCCGTGCACAGGGTCGTGTGTGCACGATGAGAAAGGCCATTGGAGCGAATGGACAGAAAATGCAAGTGGTGGTGTGTCCTGATGTCCCACTGCGGGGACACGTCCCCTGCCTCCTCTGCTTGACCTGAACCCCCAAGGGGACAGGGTACGGGGGCCAAGGGTTGTGTGAGCTGGACACAAAGGCCACAGGAAGCAGGCCACAGTCACACGAGTCAGGAGGACACACAGCACAGGGTCAGCAGCAGCAGCAACAGCAGAGGTGGCCAGGGAGCCGCCGACACACTGCCGGAAACGGGCCGGGCGCCCAGGATGGCGAAACAAAACTGCACACCCGTGAGACCCCTCTGGCCTTGCCTCGCTGGTAAGCGGCGTTTGAAAGAGGACGGGCGGGCTCCGCCTCGATTTCCGACCCGCAGCTCCAGCCTGGAGGGATGTGGCCCCGCAAGGCGGTCACCAAGTGGTCACATTCAAACTTTGGCCTCTGGCCCCTCCAGCACCGCGACAGATCTTTGCCCCTTTAAAAGCCATCACCGCGAGGTCCTGGCACCCCCACAAGAGGCCGGTGCCCCGGGCCGTGCCGCTGCGAGACTGGCCCTCCCGGCCAGGCGGCTCCAAAGGGGACAGCCGAGCACAGAGGCCCGGAGAAAACAGATTCAACCAAGAGAGCGCTCAGGAAGAGTCAGGGCAGTTTTCCATAGAAAGAGAGGAGGGGAGCCCACGGCAAGCTCCACAAGGCGCAGGGCATGCACTGGAGGGCAGAGACAGAGTTATAAACGGGCCGGTTACTTGACGAGGTCTTCTGGACTGGTGAGTTGGGGTCTGGTCGGGACAGCCATTGAACTACGTAGCTCTTCTTGGAGGGATCGGAGACGTTTCCTAGAGGGAAAAGAAAGGAGTCTTGGCTGCTGGGGCACCAGGTCTGGGCACCCAACCCACCTACCCCAGGCAGAAGGGCCCCCTGGATTCTGGCATCCCAGGGAGGGGGTGACAGGAGGGCCCCAACTCCCCAGTGTGGCCTGCAAGGCCTCCCTCGGCACAGATGGGCCCCAAGCACCCTGTCCAGGCCCAGTCCTGCCTCTCCCACACCAAGCATCCGGGTCTCAGCTACGCAGAGTAGCTTCAGCTACTATCCCCACACGCAGGCCCTACCAGCACCTCCTTATGTCTGTACTGCCCTCCAAGTCCCCACCGTGCCCTGCTCTGGGCTGAGCAGTGCCCTGAGTGCTGGCTCTGGAAGTGCAGGGAACAAGTGAATCCTGGATCTACCCTCTCCTAAGCTGGGGGAGGCACACCTGACCCCCCGAGCTCCCTGCTCCGCAGAAGGGACTCATGACTGGATCTACGTCTTCAACGGTTGTGGGGACCGAAAGAGCTGACGTGTGTCCAGCACTTGGCCAGGCATCTACACGCAGCCAGCATTCTGGTTGCTCTCCTTGCAGGGCGACAGGCGCCCCCTACTCATACAGGCACCCCCTACTCGCATGGGCATGGGCTGAGACCCGATGTGCAGTCACTGTGAATCCGGTTTCTGTCTCCCAGACCAAAAGGGAGTGTCAGGAAGGCAGGGATGGACTGAGTCCACGCCATCCTTCACTAGGGCCTGGCCTGGAGATGAGCATGGCAAATGCCAGTTCCTTCCATTTCCTGCCAGAGAAAGGTCCCAGCCTGGGCCTGGGCGGGCTTAGCTTCTCCTTCAAGTTCACAGATGCTGAGTTCGACCAGTTGTGGGAAGAGCCGCATTTGCCTGGACCGCCGCCCTCCCCTGGGCTTGCTGCATGCAGAAGGCTTACGGGGACAGGGGCCAAGCCTGCAGATCCTGGCCGTCTCAGGCCGCTCCTCCCGGCAGACACCGAAGCTGTCGTCCATGGTTCGGCAGAGCACCGGCCGTTCCTGGGTGCCGTTGCCACAGGTTACCGAACACTGCAGGCAGAGCGTTACCAGTCAGGGCCCGCTTCCCATGCTAGGCTGGGTCTGAAAGGGCTCCCCAAGCGGGTGACCCCACAATACGCGGAAGGTGGGGAGGCACAAAGGGTAGAGGGTGAGCTAGAGGCCTGCCCTGCCTAGCCCTAGCCCCGGGCAGCTGCTTCAATCTCCTGGGCTCTAGAGTGAGTTAGAGAGAACAAATATGCAGGGCCAGATAGGGCCTGGCACTTCTGGCTTCTCAGCGAGCACCTCCCTCCTCTGGCTAGAGGAGGCCCAAGGCCCAGAAGAACTGCTATGCACTGGGGGCCACTGGGAAAGCTCTGCCTGGGTCCAGGAGGCTTCGGCAGAGGACCCTCCCTCCCTCTGGACACAAGGTTCTACACCACCAGCACCCTCACTGTCCCCTCCAGTCTCGGGCCCCCTTGGCCTCACCACATTGGGAGGGACCCGAATGAGCAGTCATGCCCAGACTCGTGGCTCTGCTCACAACTCAACCCAGCCCTGCTAAAGGATGATTCTCAAGTGTTCACCTTGTGTGTGACAAAGGGTTGACTCAGCAGACGGGGTTGCTCAAACCTGCCCAGTCCCAAGAAAGGCCTATTTTCAGGGCTGGCCCTTGGGCAACTCCTGGGAACCAAGTTCATGGAATGGTCTGTCTGGTAAGAGCGTTTTTGCGTGCCTGAGGCCTCCGATCAGGCTGCACCAATTTGTTCGGTTGGTTTACACCAACAAGATGATTTACGGTGAGCATCCGCTTTCGCTCTGGGGTCTGGGGCTTCAGTAACTGATGTCAGTCACGCAGGCACCTGATGCCTATGTGACTGATCCCCAGTGAACATCCTGGGCACCTAGATGTTTGTGCCTGGTTTCCTCCAGACTTCACCGAAACACTTTTTCCCTGTGCTGATTCTACGCTGTGTGCTTTCATTGTAATAAAGCCTAACCATGACTACAGCAACTTCTGAGCAAATCTTTGAGCCCAAGGTTGGTCCTGGCAACTCCTGACCCACCAGGCCCGGGGGCTGGATGTCAGTGCTCACATCAGCTCAGCCCTGACCCCAGAACGGCTCGTGCAGCCCGAGACTATCCTTTCCAGTCCAAGTCTAAGTCCTCCCTTGCCCGTGTTTCCTCCTGCAAGTCTGACCGGCCTTCTAGCCACACCTCTGGCCCCCAGAGACAAAAGCCCAGGCTTCCCTTTGTTTCCTGGAGCCCAGGCTGTCCCCAGTCTCCTGGGGGTCCTGTCCCCAGGAGCATGGGAGCCTCTACCCTGCAGAGTGAAGATACACATTCCACTGAGTTTCCCATAGCCATGTGGAACCACGGGTGCCCTGAGACCTACGGGATGTGGCCCAGGGCAAGAACTGCATCCAGGCCCAGGTGCAACGCCCTGGCCACTTCAGTCCCACACAAGCTTGGTTTGGGGGCTGAGGACACAGGGCCGGGGCACTGCTTACCTGGGACCAGGGTCCGGCCCGCCACCGACCGGGACAGAGCTCACGGTTGCAGGCCCGGCGGCCCTCGGGTCGGGCGTCATTGCAGTGCTTGGTGTGCACGGAGCGGGTGGTGTTGTTGTGCAGGGGCTGAACGCAGCGCACAGAGCGAACCTGCATGCCCGTCCGCCCACAGCTCTGACTGCATGCCTCCCACTCGCCCGTGACCCACCTGTCAGGGCAGAGCAGCACACGGTCAGCCCCTGGAGAATCACCCTGGCTGAGGCCCTGGTGGACAGAAGCAAGGCAGCCTGCTCCTCCAGGCGCATCTTTACCTACTGTCAGGAAGGTGCCCTGGAGGCTAGCTGGGCCCCTGCCTGAGGGCCTGCCGACGATGAACCCCAAGCATGCCCACGGCTGGGAGATCCTGATTGGGATGTGGCCATGGACAGCCGGCCTCTGTCTCCTCTTAGGCTCCTGGCTCTGCCCTCTGGCCTCAGCTTCCGCTGACATCACCAACCCTTCTGGGCAGCAGCATGGACACACTCAGCACCTGTCCCCGAACGGCCCCCACCTGCCTTTTACCCACCATCTTCCCCACTCAGGGTCCTGAAAAAGGAACCTGGGCCCAGAAATGCAGCCCTGTCAAACCCCGGAGCCAAAGGGTCATGGCTGTGGCCATTCCAAGGCCTCAGCCTCTGGAATGAGCTGCTTGGGAAACATCTACCACCGGACCAGAAGCAAGCCCTGCACCCTCGGAGCCTCAGTTTCCCCATCTGAGCATTACCACTTGTTGTCATTTCTAAGATGCACATTATTGTTTCCGTCTAGCAGGTCTGAAGCAGGGGGGCACTGCACAGCCTGCAACATCTTAGACTCCATAGAACGTGGTGAGTGAGGAAGAATCTGTCAAACGTCTCAGGGCACGTGAGGCTCAGAGCATCCAGGGAACCCGATCCTGCACCACCCTTCACAGGAGCCCCAGGGCTCTCCCTCCCCTCCTCTAGTGGGGCTGGGGGCCGGGGAGTCCTGGCACTCACACGGGCTGGGAGCACTCCTGTGGGTTGCAAGCCCGGCGGATGGCTTTAGGCTTCGAGAGGGAGTCGCAGAAGCCTCGGTGCACCATCTTGTGGTCCAGCCTCCGGCGGCAGCCATACTTGGTGAACTGGGACCCTGAAGACGAGAGCTCGAGGGGGCTCAGTGGGACAGTATGGGCCCTCCAGCAGGCGTGGAGGGGTGGCTCCTCAGGTCACGTAGCCCCGTTCTCCCCGCCCTGCTAATGGGGTGGGGGGGTCGAGCAGGGACACATCTAGCCTGGTGTCTACCCAGCATCCCAGGCCAAGTGAGGGTGACAGGCCAGGGAGAGTAGCCCCCTTCTCTCCTGCCCTTTGGCTGGCTTCCTGGGGCAGGAGGGAAGGTTCTATTTCCTCTCCCATTGTTTAGTCATTTACTCCACCTTGAATTAATGTGCTCTGAGGACCTGGCTAAACATGGAATACAGCCTGCAAGGCTCCTCCAGCCAGTCTAGTGTAGCAGTTCTCAGCTGGTGGAGATTTTGCCCCGGGGACATCTGGCGATGTCTGGGACACTTAGTTGTCACAACTGGGGGAGGAGAGGCCACCGACATCTAACAGGTAGAGGCGGGGGATGTTGCTCAGCATCCTACAATGCACGGGACTACCCCCCACAATGGAAAATGATAGACTCCAGAATGTCAACAGTGCCAAGTCTCAAAACCTCAGCCTAGTGGGTTAGACATGAGAGAATATGACTAGGCAGCCTGATCTAGCCTGGGCATCTGGGTGTGTTCCGGGAAACAGAGGATGGAGGTGTGCTGATTTAGTGGGAAAGCGGTGGAAGGGGCTCCCCGGGGAGGAGATGGCCTATGCAGAGGCCCTGAGGCAGGAGCACGGCGTGTCCAGGAAAAGCACTTAAGGCCAGTGTGGACAGGGCTGAGTGAGCAAGGGTTGGGGGTGCCAACGGCAGTGGGAGAAGTCAGCAAGTTGCTTGTACCTTGGAGGCCATGAGGAGAATTTTGTTTTTTATCCCAAGAGCAGAAGGAGCTGCTGAAAACTGTGATCACAGAAAGGGGTATGGTCTGATCTGCCCCTTTAATAGGTCACTCTGAGGGCAAGAGTGGACACACGGGGCCAGCTGGGTAGCGAGGACGGTGCCAGGACTGGGAAGATGGTAACAGCAGATGCGTCCAAGAGATACACAGGAGGGAGACTCAGCAGGACGTGCTGATAAAATCCAGGGGGCCGGGAGGCTCAGTGGAAGCCTGGGGCGCCATCCGCCCAGGCAGGAGCACTGGAAGATGAGCCCTCCATCGGCCTGGGCCTGGCAGTGGGTGCCCCGCCCACTGGGCAAACTCCCTCTGTTGTCTAGGTGTGGGACACTTCATGGTACCTGAAGGAGTTCTGTCCTGGCCACCTGCTCCTGTAGGCTGAGCTCTCTTCTCCTGCCTTTTATCTCCTCCAGCCCCAGAGGAGCAGTGACTACACTGAGCAGATCAGAACTTCCTGTCTGTCTGTTATGTCCCACCCAACTGTGGACTCTTTGAGGTCCAAAGCAGGTGGGACCTCTCTGCACCCAGCCCTGCCCCAGGGAGGCAAGGCCTTTCTGCATTCGGAAAGGAGGGATCTTAGGAGGGATCTCTGTAGAGGGGGCCTCTTCATTGGTCTCCAGCATGGCCTGAGCCTTTCCTGTGACCTGCCTCGTGGTGTCACAGTAATCCATCCAAGCCACACCCTCACAGCAACCTCCCGCCAGGCCGAACCTCCCTCTCACACCATGCAGGTGGGTGCTGGTGTCATCCAAGCCCCACACGTGCCCCCTGGCTGCCCTGAGCACCTGCTCTTCCTGCCCACCCTCTGGCACCTCCCTAGTGGGGCTAGGCCCTTGTCACCCAGGCAAAGGTCACTGGTTTGGGTCTAGTGTTCTCATACCTGGCACATCCCTCATGCCAGGCGGTCAGCAGGGACCATGGACTTAGGAAGCTCCTCATCCAGGAGACCCCTCCCGCTCGGCCCCGACCTCCTCTGGGGCCCCAACTCTGAGAAGGCCCCTCACCTCCACCGCAGGGCTTGGAGCAGGGAGACCACTTCTTCAGGGCCCACTCGTAGCCCACGGAATTGTCCTCCAGGACATTGTTGCCGTCCACATTGAGCGAGTCCTCATGGATCATGTATTTGTAGGTCAGCGAGATGCGGGCGTCCCCCTGCGGGATGACCTGCCCCGGAGACGGACGTGAATGTGTCTGCCCACCACCACCCTCCCTCGGCGACCAGGTTAGGAAAGTCAGCCCGAGGAACATGCGCGGCCAAGTCTCATTAGTCACGGTACTCAGGTTCTAGAAAGTCCCGGCAAACACCGAATCTGCCAGTACTGAACCGCTGCTCGCAGGGGAACATGGCATCAGGGCCTGCGAACCTCTGGTCGTGACAGTTTCATTAACAGTCAATGCATAAGCTTATTCTATGTGCGTTTCTGTTTAAAGACACCTTAATTAGTACATGCCATTGATTCATTAACACTGAACTCACGGCCAGCACCTGGTTACTTGTGCCTGGACTCAGCTCATCTAACACATGCGCTCTCTCCTTAGGGTAAACCTGCAGCTTCCTGATCAGAGGAACACCAGACCCATGCTTGGGGCCATTTTAAACAATGAAATCATCCCCCAAAAGCACAAAAATGCGGACAACATGGCAGTAAATAGAGTGTGAAAAAGACGCTTGTTTGCAGTAGCAGCTGAAACAAGAAGCAGAGCCTTGCCTGTTTCCGCCTCCTCACATTTTCCCCTGCTCCACTGCAAGTACAGGCAGACCTTGCTTTACGGCGCTTTGTTTTACTGCGCTTCGCAGATATTACGTTTTTTTGGGTTTCTTTTCTTTTTTGCGGTATGCGGGCCTCTCACTGTTGTGGCCTCTCTCATTGCGGAGCACAGGCTCCGGACGCGCAGGCTCAGCAGCCGTGACTCACAGGCCCAGCCACTCCGCGGCATGTGGGATCTTCCCGAACCGGGGCACGAACCTGTGTCCCCTGCATCGGCAGGCGGACTCTCAACCACTGCACCACCAGGGAAGCCCCGTTTATTTACAGATTAAACTTTTGTGGCAGCCCCACATCCAGCAAGTCTATTGGTGCCATTTGTCAACAGGATTTACTCACTTTGTGTCTTTGGGTCACATTTTGGTAATTCCCACAATATTTCAAACTTTTTCATTATTATTACTTTTATTATGGTGATCTCTGATCAGTGATCTTTGATGTTATTGTTGTAACTGATTTTTTGCTTTGTATTTTTAATCAAGGTATGTACATTGTTTTCCTTAGACCTAAGGCTATCACACACACTGGGAAACCAAAACGTTCACGTGACTTGCGTTATTGCCATATTCACTTTACTGCGGTGGTCTGGAACCGATCCTGCAGTATCTCCTGAGGTATGCCTGTATTGATTTTGGGATTAGACATACTTTCAGTAGGTGAATTTACCAATACAGAAATGGCAGATACTGAAGCCTGACTGTATATGCACTGACAAAGGCAGGGCACCAAAGGCGTTTCTGGGGATGCAGAGTACATGCAGCCGAGGCGAGCAGAGCAGAGCACGGCGCACATGAAACACCCCATCCCCACAGCTGCGCACTCTGGTGTGGGGCGCTGGGTCCGGGTGCCTGAACCCAACCATGGTGTGCTCACCTTAATGGAGGGGCAAAAGTCATCTGAGCCTTACCTGTAGTGTTTTAACTTTTTTTACTGATAAAATGTATTATGTATGCAATTAAAGTTAATTTTTAATAAGTGAATCAGGAAATCAAGCCCCCTCTGTACTCCCATCACCAGGAGCAGCCTGTGGTCCTGGACTCAGGAGACCTGGGGTCCAGTCCTGTTCAGGGACAAAGTCTAGTGTGACCTGGGTCTAGCAGTCCAATTTCCTGAGCCCCATTGTTCACCCCCAGAGAGTGGCTGGGTTTGGATACAGTGGTAGACATGAATAAGCATGATGAAAAGTGGTCATGAATGTCACCCAGAGGGGGAAACCTAATCGCTTGCAGGGGATTTTGACCCCTTTAGTCACCCAGGGGTCGATACAGGGCCCAGAGCCCAACTGGTGGCTCCATGTCTGTTCCTTGCTCTGACACAGAGATAGAGACCCTTGGTCCAAAAGTCAGGCCAGAGAGGCCGTTCAGAGCATGGTCCGAAGTATGCAGGGAGGCTCAGGGTTCCCAGGCACCCCTCCATCCCTTCCCTAGCAGCTACTTGCCCCCTGTCTGGGCAGCCAGGACGCAGTGGGCCTGGCCCCTGCCTCGACTTACCAGCACAGTGATGGTCCCGTGGAGGGGGCCCATGGTCTGCAGCGTCTCCCGGCCATCCTCATCCCGGTACTCCCACTCCACACCCATGGCAATGAAGGATTTGGAGTTGGGATCCACGTCATTCTCTTCATTTAAAATGAACTTGCCTGTTTCCAGGTTCTTGACGGCTGAGAACGGCAGAAGACAGCCAGTGTCACCCAGGGGCAGAACTGCGGGAAGGCTGGCAGGGTATGCTGGTTTGAACAGGTTGGGGGAGTTACAGGGAGCAGAGCCCCTCGTCTCCCAGCTGTCTTCTGCCAGGGGCCCGTCAGTCCCACTGACAGTCCAAATCACCTTGGGAACCTGACTTGCCCTTTGTCTCTCAGCCAAAACTAAGTTTCCCTCTAACCCTGCCCTTCTGCCAGGCCCAGGGCCCTTTCCTGGATCTGCTCCTCAGGCCCTGAAGGAGATGCTACATGGCAAGGGACTCGGCAGGCATCAAGGCCACCTACTTGCTGTCTACTTGGAACACTCAGTGGGCTCTCAGAGCCACTGCCCTCCCTGTCCCAGCCCCCCGGGTGAGGGGCATCTGCTGGACACCAGGGCACAGGGCTGGGTGAGGGCTTCCTTTCCTGGGGTGAGCATACGTCCCATATGTCTCCCTACCCTGCTGGTAACTGTGGCTCGGCCTGGGTCCCCACCAGTTCCCTACAACCAAAAGAGGCCTGACCTGGCCCGGGGACCACTCAGGCCACTAGGCATCCACAAAGAATGTCTAGGAGCCGAGAATCCACTGGTCGGGAAGCCCCACGCTTCCCACAGCGGAAGGTGTCTGCTGGGGGTCTGCTGGAAGATTTTAGGTGGTGTCACAGACTGGGCACAAAAATCATGGGATCACAGAGTTAGGAAATCATTCCCTTCACAAGTCTCCTGGAATCCCCTGAGAGCCTCAGCGGGCGCCAGGAGGTCCTCAGCTTGTCAATAACCCTCCCTCCTCTTGTGCAGGGAGAGCAGGAAACAGTGTTTAGATAGAAGTGTCTTTTTTTTCAGGGATCAACTTTCATATTTGCCTTCTACTTAAGGCAAGTGCCACTGGCTTTGCATTTTGGGATAGCAACATAAAGTCTCCTCTTAAAATAAGGAAGAAAGAAAAATTCATATTAAAAAGAGTGGTTGTCTGTCTCGCGTCAGTGGCGGGGGCCAGATGGAGGCAGTCATGGAGCCCCTGACCCAGTCTGGCCTCCAGGGCACAGGGAGGAAGGTCGGGGCCCAAATTGGAGGAAGAGACTTGTATGGGGTCCCCTCAGTGACCTACTTCCTACTTCACTTCCTCCTTCGGCCTTACATCTTGGTGGGGGGCATGGATGGGTGAAGCCCCTTTGAGGAGCCCTAGGCAGCCTGGAGGAGCGCAGCCCCACAGGGGGCTGCCATGTGAGAAGGGGGCACTCAGAGTTGTTAGAACATCCAAATTTTCAACAGATGCCAGGAATCCCTATTCCAAAAGAATCACTTGAATTTAAAATGAAACTAAATGAAAAAATGCAAATACGTCATAGAAGCCCATCTACAAGCTGGCCTTAGCAGCCGCTGCTTAAGGACCTTGCCTGCCTTCCAGTGGACAGAGGGCTTCCCCCTTGGCCTCAAGATGGACTTAGGGTGGGGAGGTGTGGCATGTTTTAAACACATGTCCCTCCACAGCTGCTGCCAGGGAAGCCCTCTGATCCCAACCCCTGGCCTCTCCATTGGGAAATGACTCCAGGAGACGTCCACCAGGTGGGCCAGGCCAGGGACAGGGGAGATGGGGCTGCAGCCACGCCTCTCAGCTGGGCCCCTGATCCCTGGAAGAGTCAGGCTGCAGATTCACCGCACTGCCTGGGCTCCGACACTCACCCAGGTGGTGGCTGGTGGTGTCTGCCTCCTGGATAAGCAGGTGTCTGGCTCCTACCGGGATCTCAAACATCTTGATGTAACCTTTGTTGGGATGTGGGGAGACAAAGCCAAATGAGAAGGGAGAGGCCGTCGAATGCAGACAATGCCAGGAGGGCCTTGCCCTCGAAGGTGGTTCCAGAGCCCCCAGTGTTTTATGGGCTCTGACTGCCCACCCAGAGAGGGGTCCACGGGAAAGCTAGCACATCCCAGCCAGCCACAGCCCTTTGCTCATCTTCAAATCCAGGGGCTCCTTCAGCCTCCTCCATTGAAAACTTAGTGGGCGTCCTCGTGAGTGTGCCTGGAGTCACACCTGGGCACGGAGCTAAGATGCCACATCCAGGAGGGAGGCCTTCAGCAAGCTGCTTGCCCTCCCTGGACCTCGGCGGCTTAATCCGCAAACTGAAGACAGCCTGCTCACGTGGGGCGATGCAGAAGGTCAGCTCCTGGCACCCTGGCACCAGCTCTGAGTGGAGTCTGGCAGGTTTGTCCCATGGCCTTCTTCCAAAAGAGGTGAACCAAAGTGGCTTCTCACCATTTTGGACAGAGGTAGAGCAGTCCGCTGCTGCAAGCCCACCCAGAGCACCGAAGCCAGACGGAGGTACCACTGTGGAAGGAGGCTCACCAAGCGGTCTGTTTTCCCAGAGCCCACCTTGGCCAGGGACCCCAAGTTCCCCAGCCCCATCCTGTGGCCCTGTGGGGACAGGCTTACATGTCCCTAGGCCACAGGCTGCACTGACAGCCCATCAAAGTCCTGCTGACAGGTGGCTGGGGGTAGCAAGCAAGGGAGGCCAGCTGGCGACCGGAAAGCCTTGGAGGGCTGGGGAGGGTGCCCTCAAGTAAAGACTTCTAAGACCCACCCTGTGCACATATACCCTGGCATTACCCCTGTCCCTGCCCACCCTGGGGCCTGGCGCAGCTGCCCCGACCTGATTCTCTCTCCACCTCACCCTCCCAGACTTACACCCCCTCTCCCGCAAACATCTGAGAACCCGGTCAGAGCCACCCGGCCAGGTGCTGTAGACATTCAGGCCTGGGTGCCCTGGGCAGGGGGAGGGAGGGGCGCACTCACCGAGCTTCTTGGGCGAGCGTGTGAATGTGCCCTTGACCACCTTGCAGTGGGAATTGTCCCCTCCACACACACCACACTTGTCCTCCTGCTTGCTGGAGCCGATCACCCCGTCGCAGCCCACCTTCTGCAGAGGGGTGGGGAGGTGCAGTGTACACTCGAGACTCCCTCTCCCTACCTGTTCCCTCCACAGCCCAGGTCAGGGCACCCCTTCTTAGCAGTTCCTGATGCAGGGGAAGGAGAGGGGGCTTTGGAGCAAGACAGACCCTGTGTGCCCACCCAAGGACCAGCCTTTCCCCCTCACTCATCCACTTGTCTGGACAGTGTGACCTGTGGAGGGTTCTGTATAGCCTAAACAGGGCCTGGTCCTGAAGCTGCCCTGCCACAGCACGCTGGTGTCCTAATGGACATATCAGACATGGCCTCTGCCCCTTCTCCCGGCTGTCCACGCAGCGCAGCCCCAGAGGCGGTCCCTCCATGGCTCGCACCCAAAGCTTAGGCCAAGATGTCCCTCCCTCACACTGCCCCCAGGAACAATGTCCTCTTCAGTCTGTCTCGGGGTGTCTGGGAAGGAGGTGACAGGAGTTGGTAGGAACACTTTTGCCTTCATTCTCTCAACCAATCCTCTCAACACTGTCCACTCTAGTATTGAAAATTGTTCCACACAGAGCAGGGACGTTCCTTGCCCAGGGCCACCTGGCAGAGGCAGTAACAAATTCCGGTTCTGTTACTCTCTATAGCCCTGCCGATAGCACACCATTCCCAGGGCCCCAGAGCTCTGCGGGGAGCAGACCCTGGGTCTGAACACACTGCCTGAGGCCACTTTCATATCCATGACCACACTCAGCAGGGAAGACAACCTCTCCTAGCTGGTCTGCTCGCTGTCTGATCTGAGTGCACCACAGCACCACAGGTTTCCCTCTTTGCCCTGGCTGCCAGGAAGCCCAGAGCCAATTCACCCCTCAGGATCCGCCTATCACCGCCTCTTGTGAGACTGCTTCCTTTCCCTTTGCTCTTTGGTTTATTTATTTTTTTTGATACATCTTTTTCGTATTTTATTTTTGCTTTTTTAAAATACACACTTTAAAAATTTTTTTTATTGCTTCACAATATTCTGTTAGTCTTGCTCTTTGATTTCTGACTTTTGTCTTACAAAAACCTTTGAGGGCAGGGTCTCTAGACTATGAAGGGGCTACAGAGCCACTTCCTGGCAATGCAGTCTCAGAGAAACTTCGAGTTTGTTTCCACATTTGTGACATGGAGTCAGAGCAGCAAGGCCTGCCAGGGCTGTTGCCCAGATGAGAGGATATGGTCCTTGTAAACAGTCACACGTTGCCTGAAGGATGAAGCTGATGCTGAGGAGGAGGGAAGAGAAAGAGGGGAGGAGGGAGAGGAAGGGAGGGAGGGGAGAACCTCCTGTCCAGCCAGGGCAGTTGTGATATTGTGATTTATGAGATATATATATATATATATATATATATATATATATATATATATATATATATATATATTTGGTCTTCATCCAGTTTCTGGCTAGACCTCCTAAAACCCTTGGAATTTTCTGTGGTGAGAGCCATAAAGCTGTCTTTATGGGGGGGGGGTTGAGTAGGTGGTCAGTGACCCATTATTTAGTCAGTCATGCCTGTAATGAAGTCTCCATAACAACCCAAAAGGGTGGGGTTTGGAGAGCTTCTGGGTTGGTGAACACATAGAGATTTGGGGACAGCAGCATGCTCTGGAAGGGCCTGGAAGCTCCATTCCTTCCTACATACCTTACCCTAAGCATCTTCCATCTGCCTGTTCCTGAGCTATATCCCTCTATAATAAACTGGTAATCTAGTCACTGTTTTTTGAGTTCTAAGAGTCACTCTAGCAAATTAATTGAACCCAAGGAAGGGGTTGTTGGAACCTCCAGTCTACAGCCTGTTAATCAGAAGCACAGGTGACAACCTGGACTTGTGATTGGCATCTGAAGGCAGGGGGCCGTCTTATAGGACGGAGGCCTTAACTTGTGGGATCTGATGCTATCTCTGGGTAGGTAGTGTCAGAACTGAGTTAAATTTTAGGACACTGCCAACTAAAAATTGGCACTTGCCTTCTGCTTCTACAAGGATTAGGTCACTAGCCACTGCAGTCGCTGACCTTCAACGCACCAGAAAGTTCAGGGTGGAGATCAGGAATGAGGCACTCTTGTGCTCTGGGAAAAACTGGCAGAACAGGCCTTCAGAGAGTTAGATATTTTCAGGAGAAGATTTTATGAACCCATAAATTCTTGCATCTTCTATCTAAGAAAGCACCAAAATCATTAATGGTGACATCTGCTCCTGGTGACCAGCAGCAAGCCTCCGCCACGATGTGTGCTTGACCGCACGCACCCGCTTTCACTAAAACCACATATAATACTGACCTCCGCTTACCTCTTTGGAGCAGCTCCTCAGAGCTATAGTCCTCATTTTGCCCCAAATAAAACTTAACTAACATCTCTCACATTATGCAATTTTTTTCAGCCCACAACATCCAGCTGGTGTCAGAGAATTGCTTGTTGGACAGGTAGGGGAAAATACCCCAAACTGGGATTGGAATCAGAATCTTTATGGCCTCATTTAATTCTTGATTCCCTGCTCTGTGTGTGTGTGTGGTGTGTGTGTGTGTATGTGTGTGTGTCTTTATTCTCCTGCCATGTCTTTTGCTATCATTTCTCTTTGAAGCTTCCTGAGTCATTGTGTTTTGATGTTCTCTCATTGACAGCATCCACTTGGATATTAGATTCTTTTAAGAGTTTCACATTCACATGTATTGTGAGGACTCCTACATTTCATCTTATCACTCCCATTTCCTTTGTGTGTTTTCGTTCTTTCTGTCTCCTTTGTTTTCTAACTTTTGCAATGTGACCATATATAAATGTAAACATTTTCTAATTATGCAAAACTCTATCATTCTACTGTTATCTGTTCAAAGTCACCATTAATTAATGAAATACCCTATTCTTCTCCAGTTGTCAATGTCAGGAGTGAAGCTCTAGACACGCCCACTAACCAAGAGGGTGAATTAGTGTTCCTACTTCCCTGTTATGTTTGTACCATACGCACAGCTGCCATCTAAAGCTACTTCCACTACTAGATGTTTCCCACGCCACGGCCTCTCTTAATCAGAGTTTTTAATATTTTCTGTGTGTTATGATGTTTTGACATCTTAAAAATCTTGCTAGTCAAGAAGAGCTAGCCAGTTCTTAGGGACAGCAATGGAAGCACACCTTTCATACACAAACCAACTGATTCCTCCCTTTATCAAACTCTCACACACTAAGCCAATATGTCTCTGCCCTAAATCATCCCAGGGTCAGATACCAGGAATCTAGAGACCACTCCTGCCAGAATTATTCAAACTGGCCAATCCCAAGCTGTTTAATCTGCTTGCCTTGCCTTTCCCATGGAAACCCCAATAAAAGCTTTGGCCCAGACTTTCTCCTGCTCCCTCTGCCTCGCAGCTGAATCTGGTGCTTCTCCATGTGGCCCTGCACAGCATGCCATACCCTTCCCTCAGGAGATGTAAGTAATCAGTTCTTCTTTCAATGGCACTGACTTCTCTGTGTCATCATTTGGTCACCTCCATCAATTAGAACCCCTCAGGTACAGGGGAGACACTGCTGTCCTTAAGTATTTGGCCGAGTGTTTGGAGTGTGAGCAGACTGTATGGCCTGCCCTCCCTGCTGGCTGCAGTCCTACTGAAATCACGTGGTTGGAGAGAATCCCTGAGCTTGCCTCCAGCTACTCCACACCCCACCTCCCTGCTCTTAAAGCCTCACCCGTCTCCGCCAGGGGCCCTGTGGCATTCTGCCAGGCTCTTTGCCAGGGACATCCTGAGGATGCTCGTTTCTCAGGAAGGTGAGATGACAATCAGCCTCTCGGACACCTACAATCAGTTTCATCTACACAGAGGCTTCCAGGTATTTCTAGGGGACGGGCCAGTTCTGCACTCATGTTACTATTTTATGCCGAGTGTGCCCCACAGTTGTCTCTTGTAACAGCCTAAGATCGAAGCCAAAGGCAATAAAGTAACAGAAAACACAGCAGGGCATTTCTACAAAGAGCCAAACCAACGAGAGCCATGGTGGGCCACCCTGATCGAGGGTAAGCTGTCCAGTGCCCAGAGGAGTGCAAGGACATGGCAGTGCTTCACAAGGGGTCCCCCAGGGACCATGTGCATCAAGATCACCTGGTAAAACTGGTAAAACTCATGCTCTGGGCCACAGCCTCAACCTACGTAAGCAGAATCTCTGAGGTGGAGCCCCAAGCTCCTCAGGTGGTTCCTCAGACTCGAGTCTGAGAACGCTTGTCATGGAGCGGGGCAGCAGGGAGCAGGGGGTGGGAACCAACATTTGCTGAGAGCCTGCCCTGATCTAGATGCTGTTTGCAACACTTTGCAAGCTCAACCTCAGTGAATCCTCCCAAAGCCCCAAAAAGCGGAGGCCGTGAGCTGCGGCTGCCCCTGCTCCTGTGGCACCGCACTGGCCTTGTGGCACTCACCCTGCAGTCCCCGCGCACGCAGAGGCTGAAGGCGTCCTTGTAAGAACAGCGCGTCCCATCATGCACCATGCGCTTCATGGACACCACCTCCCCAGTCTCCTTGGACTCACAGTAGAGGTGGCATCTCTCTTTGGCTGGAAGGGAAGCAGTGGGGTGTTGGTGAGGAGGGCCAGCTGCACCGCTCACTTTGTTTGCAGTTTCCTTCTCAAGTTTGCTAAAGGGAAGCACCCTGCAAGGAGAAACTCTCACCCAGGAGGGTCTTCTTATGATTCACCCAGCCCCCTACATGCCTGCCCTGGGCCAGGAGAGAAAGCGAAAGGGGGCAGATAACTGCAACCCCCTTCGTGACCCTGTTGTGTGGGACTTAGGAAGAGCTTTTCCCAACTGAGCCAGGCTGTTGTTGGTGCAGCCAGGTCTCAGATTCCCGAGGCCCTGCCCAGAGACCCCCATATCGAGGGGAAGGGAAAATGGCTGTTTGCCAGGTCTCTACCTGGAGACCCTTTTCAGTCAACCTCTGAAACCCCAAATGAGATGCCCCCTGATTCAGTCTCGGGTCTCTGGCACCTTCCCTTCTCAGCATTTACCTCCGTGGTCACTATGACACCACGTCATTATTTGATTTTTCTCCAGACCAAAGCCTCGCTCTGAGAGGGGGATCTGTCTGCTCCGGCACCGCCTCTTTGAATGCACACGTGGGGCTTGCAACAGGTGCTCAGCCGGTGTGACACGCATGGGGTGATGGAGACAGCAGAGCATGCCCCAGTCCCCACTCCCCTCCTCTGCCCAATGCCTGGAAGGAACAGAAACTGTGTTTCTCCATCATTTAGTGGGAGGGGGACCCAAATGAAATATAAACACTCTCATGCTCGAAACTACCAGACTTTTCAGTTCTAGGAGCCAACAAATGCCTTTTGATGCTTAAACCAGTTCAAGTCACTTGGAACTGAGAGCTCCCACTGAAAGATGAGAGGTCAGAAGTAACCCGATTCCTTGGCAGGCTCCGCCCCTGCCCTCCGCCTCACGGCTGAGCCAGGGTAAAGGTGCAACGCTAGCCTTGCCCACTGGGTGGCGAGCACAGGAGCCTGGGGCCAGCTGGGCCCCGCCCTCTTCGCTGCCTCCTTGGCCAGGTGCAGTTGTCTGGCTCTTCTGGGATTGTAGTCCTGCCGTGAGCCCCAAGCCGGCAGCCACCCTGCCCAGGGTGGACTCTGCTGGCATGCCCATGCAGAATCAGTGGTCCAGTGAGCCCTGGCCTGTACACTGAACGCTCACTCCCCTTAGGGCTCACCATCCCGGTGCTCGTGGGGCAGCCAGTGGTGCTGGGCGTCACCATGCTCGAAGTATAGGTCCCATTGCCGGCACTGCTCCTCACGGAAATCAGCCAGGGCGTCAGGGCAGTCCTGGGAGTTGCAGAGCTGGAAATCGTAGGCAAGGCCTGAGCAGGTGCGGCCCCCATTGGCTGGGCTGGAGGAGAAAGCAGAAAGGCCTTGCAGCTCGGTGCCAGGAAGAGGCCAGCACACGGGGTGCCACTTGTGGGATCTGGGGGGAATCCATGATCCTTGGGGATCAGGGGGCAGCTCTGCTGAGTGAAGGGACGCGGCCTTGCCCTGTCCCAGCCGCAGGACCTGGGCTATCCCCCAGCCTCCAGGGCCTTGGATCATCACTGTAGAAGGCACTGGTAATCCTCTCTCGGGGGCCCCATGGGAAGGGAGCATCTACTCAGCCCCTGTGCACCCCCCACCCCCATCCCAGCTCCTGTAGCTGTGGCGGTGAACCAACAGTGAGCTGTAACAGGGTGTTTAGGTTCTGCTGTGCCTCCGGCCATAAGCCCCAGGGTGGTGGAGCTGCGTGAGCTCCCCTACATCTGGGCCTGGGCCTGGGCCTCACACACGCTGGGAACTCAGAGCAATTCTGAAGTAGTGGAATCTTGTTACAAGTGTTCTTAACAAGTGTCAGGTACACAGTGGACACTTCATCTCCAGCTTTCCTCCACCTCAAGAAAACTTGGGCCGTGTTTCTGTAATTTCCTTACTTTGTTGAGAACACCAGCAGTCCACAAAGCACTAACCCCACAGGAAAGGCACCAGCTGGTGGCCAACAGGTGCCCATGGCAGGCAGGGTGATGGGGTGTGGCAGGCCAGCACCCTGGGAGGAGCTGGGGAGCTTCAGCCAAGCAGAACCCAAGGCCCCCCCCTGAGACTTGGGCAAAAGTCATGTTCTGCTGTGATGATGGATGTATAGCATATAGCACTGTAGAGTGAATGATGGAAGGGGCTGGCTTCCATGAGGCTCCTTGCACAGTGCCATGTTCTCAGGGGAAGTCGGTGGAAATAACCATCTGAGAAATTTGTGGAGAAAGAACCAAGAAGCCTCAGTGTTTGATGGGGACCATGAAAGAAAGGGTGATTTTGAGATTTACACCAGGGCCACTGATGGGACCACAGACCAATGACAATACCAACCAGAGCATCACCAGGAGGGGGTGCAGCCCTGGGTGTAGGTTGGGGAGCCCAGGGGCATCGTGCAGCAGGAAAAAGCAGGAAGGGGTCGGGCTGTCGCTGGAGCCCCGGCCAGCCCAGACAGGAGCCATACAGATTCAAATGGAAATCCATGATAATTCCAAAAGAGAATGTGAGTTGGAGAATTCAGGGGAGGCCAGGGAGGAAGAGAAATTGAAGAGCTTGAGCTCATGCTGTAGACTGTTTGCAGTTCTGCAATCAAAAGAGTGGCGAGGCAAAGAACACAGAGGGAACTCAATCCAGTGAGCGGGGGCCCAGCTGGGAACCTCAGGAGTCTTCACACTGGCCACAGTGTCCCAGGAAAAGCTACTGAGCCAGGGAGCAGCAACTAAAGATGGGGCAGCATAAGGCCCAGCTGTCATCTTCAGGAGGACACGTGAAAGGGGAGGCCCACGGGGCTCACTGGCATTGCTGTGGGGCCTGTGGGTTCTGAAATGCTCTGGGCGCTGCAGCTGTGCGTATTCCCCACAGATGCAATTGAGGCTGGCATAAATGAACCGTGCTCAGAGCTCTGTGTGGCGCATCTGTGTTGTCTGATGGTCACTGATGTGCACGGAATGCTGGCACTGACCAGGGGTTAGCTACTCTCCAGGCCCAACGGTGTTTGTGAACAGATGGAATGGCAGGCAGTTCTGGCCGTTTTGCTCACGTCACTGCTGCCCCTGTCCCTTGCTGCCACCAAGAAGGCTGAACCAGCCAGAGGGGTAAGAAAATCCCTAGAGTGTGCAGGTGGGGAGGGACAGAACATAGAGCACCGAGAACCTGCATGATCTCCCCCAGGGCCAGACCTGGGGGTGAGTCCCCTGGACCCCAAGAGCCCAGCATCAGACACCACGAGGAGTCAGGGCCTGGTGGGGGGAGAGAGGGGTTGTCAGGCCAGATCTGCTCTTCTGACTGCGCACCCTGGACCAGAACCTGGAAGTCCTCACCCAGCACACTGTAGCCTCTGAGCTTCTAACTTCTTGTCTTGTCAATCTCATCTTGAGGCAAGTGTAATAGCCCTAGGGGAGCTCTGAGGATAGCACAGGGGATGGGGCCTGCCTGGGAGGCAGGATGGGGAGCATGGATGGAGATGGGAATCCAGCGGGCCTTCAGGCAGCCTCTCCAGGCTGTTTCTCCCCTGGGCAGCTGGGAATGGGTGGCATGTCACTGACCCTGCCTCTTGCCTGATTGCAAACAGCTGCTCTCCTGCTCAGGCTCCCGGCATCCTGGGGCCCGAGAGAGCCCTCCTCTTTAACCCCATTGCCCCATCTCTGTTCCGCCTCCTATTCTTTTTGTGTGTGTGTGTGTGTGTGTGTGTGTGGTACGCGGGCCGCTCACTGTTGTGGCCTCTCCCGTCGCGGAGCACAGGCTCCGGACACGCAGGCTCAGCGGCCATGGCTCATGGGCCCAGCCGCTCCGAGGCATGTGGGATCCTCCCAGACTGGGGCACGAACCCGCTTCCCCTGCATCGGCAGGCGGACTCTCAACCACTGCGCCACCAGGGAAGCCCTCGCCTCCTATTCCTGATGCCCTCAACCAAGAAGAGCAGAGGAGGTCGGTGTCTAGAGTAGGATGCAGGCCAAGTGGGAGGAATGGCCCTAGGCCACCAGGTCAGAAGACCAGGTTTCCAAGTCTCCAGAGCTGGCTCTGGCCCCAGCAGGCTATGTGGCATGAGCCCTCCACTCTCTAAGTCTCAGTCCCTCCCAGGAAGATGAGAAGGGGCCAGAGCTGCCTGCCCTCACATCGTCTCCAGAACTGACATCCGCAGGGGTCTTGCAGGATAGGGTTGGCTAGCAAGGGCCCTTGGGGACTGCAGCTGCCACCGAGGAAGGCTGGGAAACATCAGGGCCAACTCACTGTGGGTTGTCGCACTGACGGGTCCTGAACTTCACACCTGTGCCGCAGGTACGTGAGCAGGAGCCGAAGGGACTCCAGGCGCCCCAGTTGCCATCTCGCTTGAGGATGTCAGGTGTCAGCCAGATGCAGTGTCCTTTAAAGCAGTGCTGAAAGACAGAAGGTCACATGCCCCCCACCCTTCAGCTGCAGTGCCCGTGATGACTGCCTGGCCCTCGAGGCACAGGGAGAACAGGCCCTACTCACCCCTAGAAGCTCAGAACTTCGCTGGGAGGCATGGTAAGGTGTTGGCCCACCCAGCTTCCCCTGACCACCACCCTGGTCTCCCACCATCCTCAGTGCCTTGTTCAGCCTACTCTGTCCCCGCAGCCAAAGCCCACCCCACACCGTGTCTGCAGGATGAAACCCCCGGCCTGGTGTGCCCACACAGCACCATTCATAAAGATGTAAGCGGCACATCAAGCCAGTGACTCTAGAGACATGTAAGGTCTACTGTTTAAGTAAAAATAAGCAATTTAAAAGAAATATGGAAACGAAGGATAGGTGATATGTTGACATGGTAAAAATTCATGAATATAGTAAGTAGAACATTGGAGTAGAGGAAACTCAGGTCTACAACTTGAATCTATCACTAGTCCAGAGAGGAAGCTTATACAATTTAGGGCCCATTTGAATAAGATTGCAAAATTAAAAATACTAAGTTTGGTATAAAATGGAATATTGATTTAGAATTAGAAAATATAAAACAAAAAATTTAAAAACTGACAAATACCACAAACCACCAAAAACAGAGAACAATGATTTTTTTCAAATTGATTGATGGACACAACATTTCCTGCAGTTCTAACTGTATACTCTTTCATGCCCTCTTCATATGACAATAATTTTGTAGGATTGTATTCCATAGGGAGAATAGAAAGATAATGCAGTCATTCCTCAGCAAGCTTTTTCTGTAAGGGCCAGATAGTAACTGTTTTAGTCTTTGCAGGCTACATGCTCACTATTTCAACTATTCAACTCTGCCATTAGAGCATGAAAGTGGCTACAGACAACATATAAATGAATGGATATGGCTGCATTCCAGTAAAACTTTGTTTACAAAAGCAGGCAGCAAATGGAAACTTCTAGAATGGAGCTGTAAGAAACTTGGTGAACCTTCTCCTCAGTAAAACAACTATTTAACTGGTGAAAATTATTTTCTAAACAAACCATTTAAATTATCTGGACAACAATTACTGACTGTATAGCATGGGGAACTATATTCAATATTTTTTAATAACCTATAATGGAAAAGAATCTGAAAAAGAATATATATAACTGAATCATTTTGCTGTAAACCTGAAACTAACACAATATTGTCAATCAACTATACTTCAATTAAAAAATATAAAGTATCTGGAAATTGTCCTAAGGTCAATACAACAAATGGAGAGAATTTACTAAATCTTGGTTAAGAATAGTAAAAGTCTATACATTTGAGCCACAACCCTCTCCCATTCCTTCCCCATCTCAGTGTGATGGAGGCTTTACTGCCTAAAAGACAGAGGTCTTCGTCTCCTCAGCTCCCAGTCTAGGGCTATAGTTTCACCCTGGGAAAGGCAGGCCACTGGCATCTCCCATACCTCCCAACACTGTGTTGCAGAAAATCTGCTCCAGTCAGGGAACTCCCTTTGCCCACCCAGTCCTCACTCCCAGACTGGAGGCTCTACTCCAGGTATGGCAAACCAAGAATACAGTACTCTAGTAGCCCCTTCTCTGGCTTCCTTGTAGGGCAGAGGTTCCATGCTGAAAGGGAAAAGCCAAGAAGACTAGAAGCTACTATCTCTATTCAGTGACCTATTCGTAGACCAGGAGTGTCACTCTGTAAGTGGACCACCCTGCTCCTAGCTCCAGCGCAGTGGTGCAGTAGTCTTCCCAGAGGGAGAGGCAGAACTGAGAGCTCCATAGCTCACCCTAAGAGGACTAACTTTATTTGGAACAGAGCATGAGGAAGTTCATGCCTAAGGGCATTGTCAAAAACAATAGAAATCTTGGTAGTGAGCAACTAAGAGGAGGCCAGTAGCTCCACAATACTAGTAAGCAACAAGTGAAATGGTAAACCAACTAGAAGTGTAACCAGGGAAAAGACAGCTAAGAGCCCTCCTGGAGTCTGAGCAAGCCTCAAATATTGGTAACACCCTGCCTCTGTGAAGGGTCCAGAATCTGATTAGGTCAGGCTGTAGACAAGTTGTACCCCAGGGCAACTGTATCAAAAACTATACAGCAACAGCTAGCAGCTAGTGAAAGCTAATTGGGTGTGATAACAATAGAGGCAGAACAGCCAGAAGTTTAGCTGGAAGATCAAAGAAAGAGACAAAGAGAACCTGGCTAATCCCACTGTTCTGGGGGTGGAGGTGGGAAGCTGTGTGGCCCGGGTGACTATGCATATGCCCAAGGCTGTGATCTCTGAGGGGCAATATCAACAGCTGCATGCTGCAGGGCAAATAAAATTTATTGAAACAGTGCATCCAAGTCACTAAAGAAATAAACAGGTAAACAAGCAAACAACAGCACAACAAGGTCTAGGGGAATCACTATCCAGAGTTTCTTCAATGTATCATCTAAAATGTCCAGTTTCAACAAAAATTTCTGAGACGTGAAAAGAAACAGGAAAGTGAAATCTATACACAGGAAAGTAAGCAGGCAACAGAAGCTGCCTTTGAGGAGTCCCAAATGTTAGAATTAGCAGACAAAAATTTCAAAATAGCTGTTATAAATATGTTCAAAGAACAAAAGGAAACCATGTCTAAAGAACAATGCCTCACCAAATGGCATCAGGAAAGAGACAGAAACTAAAAAAACACAAACAAAAAGAAAAAGAAATTATGTAGTTTAAAAGTAAAAAAACAAATGAAAAATTCACTAGAGGGCTCAGTAGTAGATTTGAGCTGACAAAAGACTCCATGAACTTGAATATAGATCAATAGAAATTATGCAATCTGAAGAGAAGAGGGGGAAAAAAATAAAGAAAAATGAACAGAGCCTCTGAGAAACATGGAAGACCATAAGTTCACTGAAATGTGCACAGTAAAAGTGCCAGAAGGAGAGGACACAGAGAAAGGAGTAGAAAATATTCAAAGAAATAATGTTTGAAAACTTCCAAAATTTGATTAAAAACATTAACATACACATCCAAGAAATTTAACCAAGTAAGTTAAATGCAAAGAAATCCACACCCAGACACAATATAGTCAAATATAGAAAGACAAAGGTAAAATGTCAAAAGAAGCAAAAGGACTCACTGGAAGCCCAATAAGATTAACAGCTGACTTTAATCAGAAATAATGGAGGCCAGAGGTAGTGGTGTCAACCAAGAATCATATCCAACAAAACTACCTCTCAACAATGAAAGTGAAATAAAAATATTCCCAGATAAACAAAAACTGGGAGAATTCATCGCTAGCAGACCTGCCATATAAGAAATACTAAATTAGGAGTTTGGGATTAACATACACACACTACTATATATAAAATAGATAACCAACAAGGACCTACTGTATAGCACAGGGAACTCTACTCAATATTCTATGATAAACTATATGGGAAAAGAAACTGAGAAAGAATGAATATATGTATATGTATAACTGAATCACTATGCTATACACCTGAAACTAACACAACACTGTAAATCAACTATACTCCAATAAAATTGTAAAAAAAGAAATACTAAAGGGAGCTATTTAGGCTGAAAGCAAGTGACACCAGAGAATAATTCAAATCCACATGAAAAGACAGAGTTCTGGAAATGGACAAATTTCTAGAAAGACACAGACTACCAAAACTGATTTAATAAGATCTAAAAATTGGAATAGACCTATAACAAGAGATTGAATTAGTGATTTAAAACTTCTCACAAAAAATAGCCAAAGCCAGATGACTTCACTGATAAATTCTACCAAACACTTAAAAAAATTAATACCAATCCTTCAAAAACTCTTTCAAAAAACGGAAGAGAAGATTTTCCAAATTCATTCTATGAGGCTAATATTACCCCAATACAAAAATCAAAGATGTCAAAAGACAAAAACTACAGAACAATATCTCATGAAAATAGACTTAAAAATTCTTCAACAAAATTCTAGCAAATCAAATCCATAGTAAAAGATTATACGCCATTACCAAGTGAAATTTATCCTAGGAATTCAAGGTTTAACATCTGAAAATCAATCAATGTAATAAACCATATCATCAGAATAAAGGAAAAACTGTATGATTACCTCAAGACTCAAAAGATAAAACTGGCAAAATCCAACATCCTTTCCTGAAAAAAGCACTCAAAAGACAGGACTAGAAGTTCCTCAAGCTGATAAAGGACATCAGTGAAATACCCCAGCTAACATCATGCTTAATGGTAAAAGAATGAATGCTTTCCCCTTAATCAGAAGCAAGACAAGGGTGTCTGATCACACCACTTCTAGTCAACATTGTACTGAACGTTCTAGCCAGGACAATTAGGCAAGAAAAAGAAGTAAAGGGCATCCAGATTGGAAAGGAAGAAGTAAAACTATCTCTATTTGCAGATGAATTGACCTTCTATATAGCAAGTCCTATGGAAACCACTAAAAAACTATTAAAGTTAATTTTAAAAGTTCAGTGAGATTGCAGGATTCAAGGTCAATATACAAAAATCTATTGTATTTCTATAAACTAGCAATGAATGAACTGAAAATGAAATTAAGAAAACAATTCTATCAGGGACATAGAGAACAGACTGGTGGTTGCCAAGGGGGAGGGGGGTGGGAGAGGGTTGGATTGGGAGTTTGGGATTAGCAGATGCAAACTGGTATATATAGAATGGATAAACAAGGTCCTACTGTATAGCACAGGGAGCTATATTCAATATCCTGTGATAAACCATAATGGAAAAGAATATGAAAAAGAATATATATATATATATATTTGTATAACTGAGTCACTTTGCTGTACAGCAGTAACATAACATTGTAATTCAACTAAGAAATTAGAAGTATTTTGAGTTAAAAAAAGAAAACAATTCTATTTACAATAGCATCAAAGAAAAAGAAAAAAACCTTAGGAATAAATTGAAGAAAAAAATGCAAAACTAGTACACTGAAAACTACAAAACATTGTCAAAAGAAACTGAAAATCT